TCATGAAACCACAGAGTATGTGAAGTGGAAGCTGTTCAACTGCTTTAAATTCCCCCACACTCTTAATACAAATTTGCAAAGTCACTGCTTTGTAAGGACCTGTGATCATTCTGCACAGGAAGAGAAGGCAATAACCTTTTCCAGCTGGAGCCCTGGAAGCGCCTTTAATTAGTTTTCCGGAAAACCAGTTCAGAGTAATTTAAAGCTTTTGGCTGCAGGGCTGCTTTTTTGGAAGCATTCACTGATTTGATTGCTTGCTCTGGACCAAGCTATGAGTTTGGAGGAAGAGATGTTTGGGAAAATACTAAACTATGTTTGCAAACAGTTAAATGCTTGAGTCCCTGTTTTGCTGTCACAGTCCAAACAGTGGGTTTGAGGTTTGGTGATAAATCAGGATGGAAAGAACAGAGTTTAGACTTGGGAGGGTTTTGTGTGTTGTCAAGACAAGCGCACAACTGCAGTTATGAAAGAGAAACTGCAGAACCAGGTGTTGGTTGTTATTGCTAAGGCTACTGTTCGCATGAAACAAAGGCAAGCTTGGTACCTGCAAATGGGTAATAATCTTAAAACCGGGATACTACCCCGGAGCACAGCATATGCTGTGTGTATCCTTTCTGGCATCCCTCTGTGATTTTCCCAGATTGGGGCTCCAGGAACAGCAGAAATGTGGTCCTGAGGTTGGGGTGTGTCTGAGTTTTGGCAGTTTCATCTTAGGATCCGCTTGCTGGAAGAAGCAGCTTCATGTTCAAAGCTGTGTTCAACTATGGCGTTAAATACTGGCTAGAAATGCACTTCGCCCTTTTGGTCCTGGTGCTGTGCATGGAAATTCCTTTGAGTCCTGCAACTGGAACATACAAGTGGGGTGCATGGTAAAGTTTATGTGTTATGATGTTCCAAGCCTCTTCCTTGAAGAAGAGTTTCATCTAGAACAGAGGGCTTGGCAGTGTTCGCCTTCGGGACTGAAGACGCTGGTTTTTGCTAAGGTAAATCCAGCTCCGTGCCGTCCCTGCCGCCCCTCCTGCGGGGATGGGAGTGGGAGGGATGCTTTCACATGCGACCTAGCTCGCTGCTGAGGGGTCCGCTTGGCTTAACAGCTGCAATAACTTCTCTCTCTGACTTTTTACCCTGTGTGTCGCTTAGTTATGCAGAGTAACAAAAAAGGGCTGAGAAGAGATGACTTTTTCTGTGAGTTTTTGTTTATTGCATGAATTTAATGGTAGCGAGGGTGTAATTTTCCCTCACACAGTCAGTCTTGTTTGTTGTGGATCTTCCATGTAGCAGCTGGGGAAGAGAAAGTTTAAGACGGGAAAATGTGAGTGTAAAGGAATACTGTTGGGTAATGGAAATAATACTTTAAGCTCATCTTAATGCTTTTGTGAAGAACTGGATTTCCAGTGAATGTCCCTTTAATTTAAGGCTGCTAATAATGCCAGGAGCTGGTATTTGCCACTGTGTTAAATGTGATTTAGCCGTACGCTTGCTGGCTTCGACAGGGGAAAGCATCTCTGAGTATTAACTGTAAGTAAAAATAAAATGCTTCTGAGGAGGGGACTCTGCGAGTAGAGCCTGACTGAAAAGGGTATCCACACTTATCTTCACTGTTCTGCTGAAATCCTTTTTCCAATCAAAACAGGAATCTCACTGGAAAAAGAGAGGGTCAGAGAAAGACTTTAAAGCTCAGTGGTTGAAAGCTGAGGGATGTACTCCTGCTGATAATCAAGGGGGGTTGCCGTGGTGCTGTAGAAACCTTGGGGTCAGCCATGGAGCTGTTGTGCTGCCCAGAGAGGTGATATGCTGGGGAGATCAGCTCAGAGGCTGGAAAAAAAGATGAAAAGTAAAACTGTAATTGTATATGGTCAGGGAAATAAACCAAAAATATTAAGAATGGCTGACCTGTAGAGCTGTTTGGGGTTTTTTCCCCCCCTTCCTCTCTTCTGTCCTTCCCCCGGAGCGGTCCCTTTCTGCAGAGAGGCAGAGGGTCTCCGAACTGCGGTATGGTATTTTTAGGACCGTACTGCTTAGCCCTTGTTATGCTATGCACAGCTCACTCTCTATCACGTGGCAGGGCACGGAGCCCTGGAAAGACGGGCTGCCAAGCCAGGCTTGGTGTTTCCTCAGCGCAGCTGTATGCTACGAGTGTCAGCCGAACCAGAGGTAAATCCATTGGGTGTAGAGCTGGGGAGCTGTGTTACTGTGTACTATGAACTTGAGGAAGGAGGAGGGAGTGTGGTTCTTAGTTTGGGAACTTCGATATTCAACTGAAGGTCAAAAAATGGGAGCTGCTTCAAAAATAAACCTTGGAATGGGAGCCAGGTGCCTGCTGTCTGTCTCAGCCAGGTTAGGCCATGTCCTGGTAGGTGAACACCCCAGGAGAGGAGGGGCTCAGCTGTGGTCCTCCATCCTCAGTGCTCAAGCCACTAGGTTATTGTACAGAAACCGCATTTACGTTCTTTACTGTGGACTTTCCAACAAGAAAAAGAGACTCCTGTTGTGTTTCAAAAGGGTGGGTTTGGGTTCCTGTGAAAGTGGCTTCCTACTAGTTCACCAGATGGTAATGGGACTTGTTCAGCTCCAGAGCTCAGCGCCTCCTGGGCAGAGGGAAAGCAGCCAGCAGCCAGGCAGGGCAGCCCTGTGAGCCCAAGTCCCTTTCTAAGGCATTTGCTCAGGGTGGCACAGGGAGCGTGGAGGTTAACAGCCTGGCAGGAGAAGCCTCCTCCTTGCTAGCCTTCCCCTTGGCGAGCACTGCCCCGTGGAGCCCAGGGGCAGGCAGGTAGCTGCCTGATGTGATGCGCTGTGTTTTATGACCACATTCTGTGCATTGCTACGAGGCTGGCTATTGTGTAATGGGGTGTTAATCCTGGAAGGACTCACGTTCCAGTCTGGCAGATAGCAGGGGAGAAAGGGTGGGGGAATGAGGTCATTAAAGACCTATCTCCATGAATTAGGCAGTGACAGCTGAAAACCTTATCACCCAGGGGCTATTTTAAAAACAAGCCTATCTTGCAAATAGGCTCGGTTTAGAATGTTAGTTAGCTCGTGGGGAATTTTTAATAAGCAAGAATGCCAGTTATCATGCAGTAGTCTATATCCCATCCAAATTAGCCAAACTATTTAATTTTTTTTTTGTCCCTGAGCTATCTTTGTATAATTGACAAGTTCTGCACTTGAATTGGAAGAACTGGTTCATGGGGGGAATCAAGTCTATTTGCCTTGTCTTGGAAGGCCATCTGCCAAGTGAGATGCCTTATGACTTCTTTTTTGAGGGAGATAATTAACAAGAAAACAGCCCTTAAGAAAAAGGAAATAGCTAAAAATGGCGTAGCATCAGTGAGCCATTTTGGTTTTGAACAGTTCATTTAAGCGTAGTTTTGTTTTAGTGAAGCTGGATAACACAGTCACTAAGGGATTCCATGGCCCAGTTCTGGAAGGGGGAGCCTTGGCCTGGCTTGAAGGCATAGGACTTTTTCTATTGATTCCAGCAGCATCAGGATTTGACTCAAAGTCGTTACAGTCCTGATGTATGCAAAACTTATGGCTGTATTTCTGCACTTAGAAAGGATGGAGAATGAGTTGGCATTGGAAGATTTGGCTGGTCAAAATATTAAGAATAAACCGGCTCTTTGTCCTATCGCCTTGCCATGTAAGATTTTGCTGGTAGAAATCAGGTGGTACTTCCACTTACGGGTAGATCACTCTGAGTGTGGTTAGGAGGCTTTGGAACGGGTGCAAGAATAGCAAGGAGGTAGAAGAGCACTCCTGAATACTCTCCTCATTCCCATGAGTGAAGGCATTAGAGCAGCATTTCTCATCCTTGAATAACCATCTAATGTATTTTGGGGCGGGGGGGAGAGGAGAGAAGGGAAGGAGGCAGGGGGAGAGAGAGGGAGGGAAGGAGGGTGGATGTTAAAACCATCCCTAGATTATTTTCACCACAGTAGATTTCACTTACAAGAACAAAGACACAAAAATAAATTTGAGATTTCCAAGTGTTCTTCATTACTCTTCTGTATTTCTCCTGTTGTGCTCACCTGCATGCCTGGAAAGGCTTGTGCCTACCTTGGTTTAATTTGCTGCAAATTTGTGGAATCTCATCCAATTTGTGCTGCAGGTGGCTCAAGGAGCACGAGCTGAGATCACTGCAACAGGACACAGCATGTAGGCTGCTAGGACAATGTGATGCTATGCTCCCTTGTTTGCATGTTGTTTAATTCTTACGATCCGACATCAGGACAACCTGCATTTGTCTTTTTTGCTGTAGATAACTCAAAGAAGGGGAAATACATCTCTAACCCGTGGTGGGAAGGAAGAGGAGAGGAATTGACTCACAGGAGTGTTCCAAACAGAGTAAGTTCAGATACTTTCTCCGCTCCCTCTCTTGAAATAGAGGTAGCATCCCTCACACCCCTGAGACTTCAAACTATCCTGAACAATTTCTGTAGCTGATTTCTGATTTGTAGAATGTTTTTAAGCAATTTGTTTGAGCTCTGTGGCTGTGACCATGAACTTGCCAGATTAGATAGTCACAACTCTGGGAACTAAGGCCTGAGAGCAAGTAGTTTTTCTCTTTGTTGTTTTTGTTGTTGTTGTGAGGTTGGTTTTTTTAAAATTCTCATCAATTATTTGCAAATATTTGCTGCTTCTGGGAATTCAGTTCCCTGAAATATAACATAAAGTTCAAAGACGATGATACCAGCCAAAGTATTGTCACTTAAATTAAGATAGAGAACTGTGGAAATCTGGTTTTGGGTTTTGTTAGGCGTAAGAGCTGGAGTAGATAACTAGAGCTTTAGTGTCCAGAAGAATAATGTAGGACAGAAAGATGGTCTGGCCCTTCACACATGGTACAGACTGAGCGCCAAGTCCAGAAATCAGTAATTAATCTTGTTTAGAACAAGTTATATGCTCTGTTCTTAAAGACCGATGAGTGGTATCATCTATGGACTTAAAAGAGCCTTCATAATTTGCACAAGCCAATATTCATCTTACCTAGACAGAAAGATATGCCTTCATCAGTGCAACTCTTCAGAGATCAGAAGTACCATGAGCTGAAAGGGCAGTGTATCCGGCAGAGACGGCTCTTCGAAGATCCCGAGTTTCCAGCCTCAGATGAGTCCCTTTTCTATCAGTCAGCCCCACCAAGGAAGGTTGAATGGAAGCGCCCAAAGGTAATTGATGTTCTCCTTGTGAGGAGGTGCTGTTCATATTGTCCCACTCCTACTGTCTTCTCTGTGCTAAAACAGTTATATGAGTGTATTCTCCCTCCCTTTTTCCATTCGTTTCCTGTTACTGTGTGATTCAGACAGCAGCCCCTCTGTGTCACACTGCTGTCCAAAATGAAAGTCATGCCTTACTGCAAAAAGACAAAAAAGAAGTGTTCTGTGCAGCATGATAATGTTTTTTACTGTTGATGTCTCTCTAATAACAAGCAGCAGTGTGAGGTGACTCCAGCCATGGTGATGGTTAAATCAGCCTTCTATTTAATTAAGAATACCAGTAATTAATTAAGTATAACAATAATAGATCAGTCAAGACAGGAATATATTCTGCAAGTAAATTCTTCATTTCTTGGTCAATCTGTGGATATGTACCTGTCTAGGTTCCTGTGTTGACACAAGCATTTCATCAAGGTGGTTTGTTTGGGTTTTTTTTGTTTTTGTTTTTTTTTTAAATTAGATGTAACTCTTGTAAAAAACACTATAGAAAGTTAGATAGAAAGTTAGATTTTAACTGAACAGATAGCATCTTCCTGTCTGGGATACTGGAAACAACTCAATAATAATAATAAAGTAGGATTATTGTTCATTATTGTAGCTCTCTGCATGTTTTCAAGGTAACTTGTGCCTTACTAAAATGTACGGGGAAATGAAATCTTGTAGTAGCAAGGGGAAGTTTCCCTAATTTCAGATAGCTGGCTAGTTCGTTTGTATCTATGAACAAATGATTTGTAATTTTTCCTTGGGGGAGAGAGTAGGAAAGAGAAAAGCCAGAGTCTGCCCAGCAAAGGGTCTATCTGAGGCGGCAAACAGCAAGGCACCATTGGTGGAATGGTCTTGTTACACTAAAAATATCCTTGGATATTTCTAACTGCCGCCAATGGAATGAATTGCGAAGCCTCATTATCAGCACATACCCACTTTCTGGTCAAAGCAAATGGATTCATTTCTGTTCCATGGGGAACTAACTGGTGCTTCCAGAATCAGTTGGTTTGCTCTCTACATTGTGCCAAAAATAAGAGGTAACCATGTGTGTATAGTTGGCTGCCAGGTTACCTTTTGTATTGACTATAGTGGAACCATAAAGCCCAGCTACATACAGGTCTTAAGAGCTTGGAATGACTTCTGCAATATAAGGGAGGACGCTCACAAGCTACTCTGAGGGAATACTCAATTACACAGATGAGTACCTGATGCAGAGGAGAGAAGGTGAGTTCCCAAGAGGTGTCTGCGCAAACTTTTTTTCTGTAGTGAGCTCATTACCCTCTTCCTCGGCATTATTTCAGAGAGGTTCTGGTGAAATCTTAGCAGCAGGTGTTACCCAGAGAGAATGGAGAGTTTTCATTTATTGACTGATATTGTCTCTGGTCTCTGCATGGCTATGCTGAAGTTACTGTGGATTTTGCCTTTGACTTCTATAAAACTTCAATTACACACCAGTGATTTCATATTCAAAATGAACAGCTATGGTCTGTACACAACCAATAATGCTTATGTCTATTCGCCACTTTTACTAGCATCTTATCAGGAAAACAAATATGTCATTTGCTTCAAATTGTGACTAATGTACTAGACATTTTAAATTGTTAATATTACTTATATTTGGGGTCTGTTAATTGGTTTGCTCTGAAGTTTTACGCTTCACGTACTTTGTATTTATAAATTAGTTCACAGCCATAAGAAAGTAATTCAGAAGAACACGAAATCATTCCCAACTTTGACAATATGGCTTTCCATCAGAGTGCAATCTTTTCCCATGCTCTGACAAGTGTAATGAAGAGGACAGTGGAAGCCTCTAGCCAGATGCACACAGTGTTTCTACCCTCAGGTGTGATGAATTTGTCCTTTCCTTCACCCATGTCCACTTTTGGGATTAGGGTTAATCTTCTGGAAGCACAAACTTGGGTGTTTTCTCTTAGAAAACATGATGCCAATGCCAATGTGATCTGCTTTACATGTCCTCTGTGACAAGGGATAACAGACGAGGCTGTATTTGCCAGGATGGCATTAGACTTTTTCCTTTTTTTGTTTTTTTGTTTTTGTTTTGTTTTGTTTTTTCCTGGTGGTGTTCATTTCTCACAGCAGCTTCAATACTGAAATTTTAGTGAACAGAGGAAGGGCTGCTTTCTGGCTTCTCATTTTCCCAAGTAAGACATGAAGCTGAAGAGTGGGGAGAATGAATCTGGAAAAACATTCCAAAGTCTTTGGGTTTGTTTTTATTTCTATAGTGCTTTCCTGTTTATTGGAGTCTTTCATCGCCTCCTAGAAGGGAGATATCATGCAACCAGTCACAGCGAGGTCAAGGAAAGCCTTCAGGCCTCCTAAAAGATGTGAAGCAAGAGCTAGCCTCTAGACAACTATGCCATTGTAGGTCATTCTTTTGTATGTGTGTTCATTCAAGGTGGTGATCAGTGATACAAAGTCTAGTTGAAGGCCGGTAACTAGCACTGTACCTTAGGGGTCAATACTGAGTCCCATCCTGTTTGACATCTTCGTTAATGGTCTGGATGATTATGTAGGGGCATTGGACTAGATGACCCCCAAAGGTCCATTTCAATCTCAATCATTCTGTGATTCTGTGTGTTATTCTAGAGCTGTGCCTTCCTTGCTCTCCGTTCTTGCTCCAAGATAGAGCAGCTCTTGGGGCCCATGTGGGGCTACTCCTACAGATTTGTGGAGAATAGCTAGAGTATCCCAGTCTTGCCCTTCTTGGGTGGGAAAGGGATTTGATGCCTAGGAAGTAGTGGAAGCTGCCTTCCTTCTCGTGGTGAGCCTGTTAGAACATCTTGAGGAAGAGGGGCTTGTCTCTGTGCAGCAGAGCAGAGGTGAGGATCTACTTCCCAATATTTGTTTATGGGTTCTCTCTGCTGTGCGGAACTATATTGTAATTTCCAGAGTGTTTCCTTTTTTGGAGAGGGAAACAGCCTTGCAATGTGAGCATAAGGCGAAGGCCAGAGCCATCATCTACTGAGACAGATTTTGAGCGGGCCAATTAGTCGTCTTGCCTCACCAACTCACCCA